TAATGTATTTTGGGGTTTAAAAGCCACTGGGACGTTATGTTTAGAAAATAAACGTCTCAGTTTCTCTGATACTCCCTCAACATACGGAATGACCACTGGTCTGGGTCTGGGTTCCTCCTTTTCACCTGATGGCTGACTGGAGTCCTGTTTGGGTTTCTTCTTTTAGGAAGGCCCAGTTAGGATATCCACATTGCTCTAGAGCCTGTCTTGTGTGGGATTTCTCCTTCTGCCTGGCTCCTGAGCTAGTGGGGACGCTGTCTGCTCTGTGATACAGAGTCCTGATGACTCCTAACTTGTGCTCCAAAGGGTGATGGGAGTCAAACTGCAAATACTGGTCTGTGTGGGTGGGTTTGCGGTACACCTCAGTTTGCAAATGTCCTCTATCAGAGACTGAGACCTCACAGTCCAAGAAAGCCAACCTGCCATTTTTTACATCTTCTCGTGTGAACTTGATGTATTTATCCACAGAGTTGATGTGGCCATCTTTGTGAAAAGAAATCGTCCATCGTTAAACAGGGGTGGAGCCTCCGGGTTCAACTGTCCCCCTCTTACAATGCTGTGATTGCTAGTATCACTCAGCCCTCTGTGAACAGTAAACAGCCATCAGGTGCTAATGATCCATTGTTAGGCTGATGGTCCTTCTTGAGCATGTGATCAGCTGGTTCTGGTTGTCAGCAGCAAAACTGGTTGATCCACTCTGAGAAGGTGCTATTTAAGAGACTGAGCTGAATACAGCACCTCAGACTGAGGAAGTCTCTCGGATGAGAGACGAAACGTTTCTACATTTTTTTGTTGATTTTGCTTTGTTTTGTTTTTTTGAATGTCCAGAGGACCAGATTTAACTTTTTTAGATTTTTCTACCTGGATTATTGAACATGCATCAGGAAAATCCTTTATGTTTTGCTCTAATATAGAACTTGTGTATCTTCAAATGAGGCAGAAAACAGTCTATCGATGTTATACTTGAGCACGTAAAACGAAACACTTAATGATGAACTTACATTGCGATGATTATGATGAATCGTGTTTAAAGCGCCCTGTTGTGAGAAAGAATGTGTTGTTTTCTTTCTTTCTTGCACGTAGGTGGTCCTGGATATGACATTTGGAGGTGGTGGCCATACCAAAGAAATTCTGAGCACGGTTCCTGAAGTCACAGTCCTGGCCTTGGACCGAGATCCTACAGCATTTTCTCTGGCCCAGCAGTTGGCCAAGGAACACTCGTGAGTGTTTGATTTATTTTTTTATTTTTTTATCTACTTGAACACAAGCCATTGCCTAAAACTACAACACGTCTAGACAAAAAATAATACTGTAACAAGACTAATATTTCTCAGTGAGTTTTTATTATCACAGTTGACAGCTTGACAGTTTTAAGAAGTGTTAGATTTTGTGGTCATTCTTTTCTTAAACATACTGTGGGTTTGATGAACAGCAGTAATGCAGCTTTCCCTCTATTTCTCACTTCTTCCCTGAACCCGATCCAATAGAGCTTGCCAAGAAACAACCCCTGAGTTTCACCATCCAATCAAATCATCCTTCCTTCTTAACTTAAAGCTATTTTCCCCCCACGCAAAGCTGGTGGGCTCTGCATGTCATTTGTCAGTGTAAGGGCCCACGCCTGCTGTGTGAGGGAGATGCTGCCTCCCACGAAGGATCTATAAGTTATGGGGATGGGTAGAAAGATCGAGCAAAGAAAAAAACAGAAACCGAGAACTTAAAAGTGAGCGAACAGGGAGACACGAGGACAGTGCCAGGGTGAGCAGGAGTGTGTGTGTTCGCATGAGCAAGGCGCGGGTGGATGAAATTGAGATGTTCCTAAGACTGTGGCGTGGGAAGGAATCCTTTTACGTAGATTCTGGGGAAACCTCTCTCAAGGGAATCTGCCGGAGACATGTGCCTGTGAGCGGGGAATGACAATTAATGGAGAGTAAATAAGAACACTGTATTCTGTCAGCAGCAATATACCCCCACTGTAAACTCTTCCACGCCTACTCATGATGCAAGTTGAGAGAGGCTAGAGAAATCTAGCAATTAACCAGTATTGTTGGGAGCCTGAGTAAAAGACCCTGCCTGCCTACGCTGTGCACGTCAGTGTTAGAGGATTTTCTCTCTCTTCCGTACTCTTGTGTCTGGAGGAAAGTATACCCTTAATTCAAACTATTGAACGTTGGTGTCAGTCAGAACAAAGTTTTACTAAACCCTGAGAATAATGTGGTATCCAAGCTCCTCAATAAACATTAGATTGAGAAAACTCAGCCATGTCTGTAATACGATCTTCCTCCTGCATGTTGAGCCATGCTGCTCTCTGCATCATTATTCCTGTTGCTATGACTTACCTACACTGGAAGCTTTGTAATTGTTGCACCCACTGTAAACATAAATCTGAAAAGGCATGATTCATTATTGAACAAACCTTGAATCTGCAGTTATAAATAAGGTTCCACAGATTAATAAGATATTTTTAATTATTTGCCATATCTATTGTGCATTCTGTGGCTTGTAAATTAGGTTCTGTATTAACTGTCAGTGTTGATGGATAAAAAATGTTTACTACCAAAAGACAAGTTGTTTACAAGTCCACATAGTGTTGGCTCTTTGGGTTGCTTGGCTTATTAATAGGATTTATATCCTAGATCATCATATGTTGAGAAATGGCACAGAGCTGTTTGGTGTAATGTTAAAATTGAAGGCACATACTGTCTTGCCATACGATTTGTTAGAGCTTAGAACATGTGTTCTAAACTACTCTCATCTACTCTGACATACATTTTAAGCTCAATATCTGTGGCATGAATTGAGCATTGACTCCAACAGTTAATGCCAATTTTTTAGGCATAGATGTCCAATCAATTGGCTTTGCAATTACAAGTGCTGGGGACCAATCACAGCTATTCCTACACTAAGGTTTTACTCGTTTTTAAAATTGTCTGCAGTACAGTAGTCCTTCGCTACTTCGCGGTTCGACTTTCGCAGACTCGCTCTACTGTGGTTTGTGATCGTACAATTGGTAATATATAATATTGGAAAAAAAATATATAACATTCCTCATGTGATTGGGACAGTACTAGAGACAGTACTGTACAGTAAAAATTTTACAAAAAATATATATATTTATTTCAGACAGGTGCTGCCATTTTGTAGTTGTTTCTCAGTAAGGCTCCACTGTATTTCCTCTCATAATGATCACATTTCCCAGAAGGCAACAGGGCCCTGCCCTGAAGCCCCGTTTCCTTCTGCTGAAAAACCAGAGGGAAAATTTTGATCTGATCAGCGCCCAGCGGATGCAGAGACACCACACTGAATCCACCGAACTGGATCATAACTGGAGCAGAATCGGACCTTCAGACACATCTGTGAATTTTGAGAGCTGGTAGCTGGTCCACAAGGACTTCTAAGTGGGGATGTGCGGAAGGTCCAGAGCTGTTCTGTATCTCATCGGGACTATTTTCATTGAGACTTAGATTCAATTCGACCACCTATGGTCCCACTCTGGCCAACAGAGGCCTGTCCTTCCCCCAAATGTGCTTTGACGCTCAAGAGCTGCATCTGGACCAGATCCGGACCTCCAGACCCACTGGTGAATCTTGAGAGCTGGTAGCTGGTCCACGAGGACTTCTAAGTGAGGACGTGCACCGAAGGTCCAGAGCTGTTTTGTAGCCCATCTGGACTTTTTCATCCAGACTTGGGCTCAATTGAAATTCAAACACCTACGGTCCCACGCCGGCCAACAGAAGGTATACCCTCTGCCCAAATGCGTTTCAACCAGAACCGGACCTCCAGACACCGGTGAACCCGAGAGCTCCAGAGATGCACATGTAATTTTTTTTTTTTTTTTTTTTTGGTGCAGGGGGTGGAGGAGGATTTTGGGTTTACACTGCCTGACCCCCTAAAAAAGTTACCATCAAAAAAAAAAAAGGTCACACGATTATTTTGTTGGACCGCCTTTAGCTTTGATTACGGCATGCATTTGCTGTAAATCTGGACTCATCAGACCACATGACCTTCTTCCATTGCTCCAGAGTCCAATCTTTATGCTCCCTAGCTAATTGAAGCTTTTTTTCCCAGTTAGCCTCACTGGTTAGTGGTTTTCTTAAGGCTCCACAGCTGTTCAGTCCCAGTCCCTTGAGTTCCTTCACATGGTGCATGTTTAAATGTTCTTACTGTCTCTATGAACCACAGCCCTGAGTGCTGCTGGTGTTCTTCTTCCATTTGATTTCACCAAACATTTAAATGATCACCGATCACGATCGTTCAGGATTTTTTTCCGGCCACATTTCTTCCTGGAAGACGATGGGTCCCCACTATCCTTCCAGTTTTTAATAATTCATTGGACAGTTCTTAACCCAATTTTAGTAGTTTATACAATCTCCTTAGATGTTTCCTCTGCTTGATGCCAATGATTTGACCCTTCTCCAACAGATGGACATCTTTTCCACGACCACGCCATGAGTCTTTCCACATGGTTGTTTAAGAAATGAGAAGCAACTCATTGCACCAGTTGGGGTTAAATACCTTGCTGCAGCTGAAATATAATCACCCATGCAGTAATTTTCCAATAGGAGGCTTGGCCCATTTACTTATTTAAATCCAGGTGGCAACTTTTTTTTTTTGCCAGGCAGTGCATGATTCAATGCAATAAAATAAACAAATTTAAAAAGTAACAGATCATTTAAACTTTGGTTTATTTACATAAAGATTTTAATTGCTGGATGTCCGGCCCCCGAGCTATTGGCTTTCAGAGACTGTGGTCCCCTGAGCAGTTTTGTTGAATAGCCCTGGTCTAGCTCGTGTAGCTTAGCTGCAGAGCTAGTACCAGTAAGTAAAATTTAGTAGCTACTTATAAGTATGTAGTTAAAATTTGTAGGTTTAAGAGTTTAGAGGACTGATTTGGGGCTTTGTTGTAGCAGGATAGTCTGCAGAAATGAAGTGGGTCATACAGAACCAAGTCAAACCACTGTTGCTGTGTTCTACAGAGCCTGGTGAGTAAAATTTAGTATTTACATATACAGTACTGTATGTATGTTCTTAAAATGATGCATGCTTAAGAGTTTAGCACATTGCAAGAGTGGGAAGGGTTTCTAAAGCCTTAATATATATATAAATATTAAAATAAACATAGCGTCTCTTAATCGCAGTTTTTCACTTATTGCCAGGAGGGGTGGAACAAAACTTCCGCGATAAACAAGGGACTACTGTATAGATATTATTGTGTTGGCTAATGTCATTTAGCTTTGATAATATTGATAATATTGATATTGAGATGGCCGCGCTCAGAGCAGTTGCAGCTTCACAGGCTCCCGGTACCATCCCAGTTTTTAGAAGTTTTGATATTGACTCTGTGCCTGACTCCGCGCGATTTATGCGTGTGAACTATAGCCGAACCGAACTGATGAGAATAGGAGCGGATTTGCCACGAAATATAGCAGAAATCAGCAACAAACTCAAAGCTACGCTCGGCAGAATGCAGATCTTAAAGTCATCTACCTGGAAGCTGCAGCAGAGGCGTTCCAGCGGGCAGAAGAGGAAGCGCTGCTCCCGGCTTAAGAGGAGAGGATGCCGGGCGGGGGTTATGGTGAGGCTACGAGCTAACGCTAAAGCCGGTAAACTCCCCATGCCGTCTCTCTTTCTGTCGAATGTCCGCTCGTTGGACAACAAGGTGGATTTACTTCGTCTGAGAGCGGGCGCCTCAGAAGAGATGAAGAAGTGTGCAGTGCTTTGCCTCACGGAAACGTGGATTACAAGTGAAACGCCGGACTCAGTCTTCCAGCTGGATGACAGACTTTTTTTTCGAGCGGACCGCTGCAGCGAGCTAACGGGGAAATCACGGGGGGGCGGAGTGTGCATTTACGTGAGTAAGAGTTGGTCCACGAACTGTACTGTTGTAAATAGCTCATGCTCGAAGGCTTTGGAGCAAATAACAGTGAAATGTCGGCCACATTATCTACCCCGAGAGTTCACAGTGACTTTTATCACAGTTGTTTACATTCCTCCGGACGCTAATGCTAATGAATCACTACAGGAGCTTCATGATATCATCAGCTCGCTGCAGAACAAACACCCCGAGGCTCTTTACGTTGTAGCCGGAGACTTTAACCACGTGAATCTAAAGGACTGTCTCCCAAGCTTTAATCAGCATGTGACGATTCCAACACGTGGAGACCGCACGCTGGACCGTGTTTACACGAACGTAAAAGATGCATACAAAGCCGAACCCCGCCCC